ATACTTTTATTTTTTGAATTTCTGGGCGTAATCTTTTTCAATATAGAAGTAGCTAAAACAAATGCCAACATTTTACACTATAATAATGATTTTTTCCAATTTAATAGCCCTTTTCGCACTTTAATAAAAACATTTCCATTTTTAATCGCTATTTTTCCATTGCATTTTAAAATTTAAGAAATATTCTACATATATTTTTATTTTCAATTAAATTATTTTATTTTAATTGAAAAATTAGTCTATTTGGACATTTTAATATAAATTATAATAAAGCAATAGAAAACCAAAAATCTGCAGTATATTCAATTTTATATTCTAATTTTGAGAACTGTTTAAAATTCCTTTATTCCTTTTTTAGTGGAGAAAGGTGTTGAAAAGCAATTTATAGAATCTTTACAGTAAAAGTTGATGTAACATACTGTATAGAGTTTCAGTTTTCTAGTTTGTCAATAAAAAAGTTATAACCGATTGTGCATCATTTATTGACCGTACACCTCGTATAAATCATTGTAAAAATAGTAATACGTTATACGATAAATAAGTTTCATTCCATTCCCAGCAGTGATATTTATTAAAATATTTTAATTTTTTTCCTCAAAAGATGGCACCACAGGTCCTAAAGCTAAACAACTAGCTGTTTGCTATCTAATGATAGAACTCGTACCGCCATCTATGAACAGATAATCGAACTATTTTTACGAAAACAATTTTTAGGAGTCACATTCACCATTCATTCTTTTAAATGCAGATTTTTTTAGAGCATTCTTATAATTATATATTTATAATATAATTTAATATAAAAATTACATGTAAAAAATATATACATTTGATAATGAAATATATTTATCACAATATTTCAAAATTTTGAAAGAAAAATTATGAAAGAAATCATTCCAAAATTTTTATACTGTTTGGCGCTTCTTTATTTTATATTAAAACGTTTAGAAACAAATGAAAATATAATATTTTATTAGGAATAAAATAAACGTTTTTTACAAATGCTTAAAATAATAAAATACACTCATGGAGACAAAACTTAAGGAAGTTGTACCTTAAGGCAAGTATATCGGGATTCAGACAATAACTCTGAAAGATATTACAGTGACTTTTATTGAAGACACACGAGATAACCAAGACATCTACTTCTGGAGTGCCCAATTTTCCGGGATTTTAGGGAAAATAGATTTGGTCGTATTGGACAGCTTGATGAATTTGTAGACAAAAAAGAAAAGTATAAAAATTTTGATCAATTTTGTAAATACATATACAACTTTCTCTTGAATTGGAAAAAATAGAAGGAATCTTAGAAAAAAAAAAAGAACTGCGATGCTTGCTCTGTGTGTTTTGCTTTGTTGTTTGTTTTTCTCTTTGGACAATTTTCTTTAGTTAATTTATGTAAAATAATGAATTGAACAGGATTGTATATAGCCGAATTGCTGTGATGCAGTGAAAGGTATTGACGCAAATATCCCTGAGTTTGGGATATCGCGTTTCATGATGTTAATAAAGTTTAATCAAGTGTGAACAAAATTGCCCTGTTTCCCTAAAAAAAAAAAAAAATGTTGGCTTGAAAACAGCTGAAGCAGGAAGCCGCGTGAAGCTCGCGCATTGCGTCTCTGATGCATCTGTATAAAATCTCTAGAACGTGATAACCATGATTGGGTGAAGTAGAATGCATCTGCCTTTGTCATAAAGACAGGGAGCACTACTCAGTGGCAGGCCGACTTAGCTCCAATATGAAATGGTCGCCTCTTACATGAGAAACAGACACCATGTACAGCCGCTCCTAACATGGCGTACAAACGCTGCTCATCCCGTTTCTCTGGATTAGGAACCCTTACAGGGTACTTATCAGCCGGGCCAGCTGAATCCAGGTTTGTTAGTGAGCTTGTTACTGCTCCCCCTCCTCCTTTTTCATCCGGGCTTGGGACCGGCAAAGGCGGAGTTTTTGGCTTGTAACTCTAATGAGCTTCGAGAAAGAAACCTGAAATTTTGAATTTCTTCTTCATTTAAGGTCATGAATAATCATTTCAAAAATCAAACCTCAACTTCCAG